ATGAAGATGCACCACCTGCCAAAAGAAGTCGGTTCATGATCAATCCAAACAAAAGATTGAAAACAAAACACGTGATTGATTTGGACTCTGACTCTGTGCCAGAAACACCTGATGTCCCGATGCCGGAACCTTCCCAGCCTGAAGAGAAGCCTGAAATGTTTCAATCCAAAATGATTTCCGATGTTCCTGATGTTGTTGTGAGTAAACAAAACAGACCTGCAAATGCCAAGGAAATGTCCCAGGCCCCTCGTCCGAACGAGGAAGCAGCTTCTCCAGTGTCCGAACTCTGGAGACCTGTGTTTCAGCTGATGGAAACAGTGGCACCAAGAGTTGGCAATCTGCGAATTGATGCTTCCCATGAAGCTGCGCGTCTTGTGCAAGCCGTGTTGCCGCACTTGAACCTTCAGGTTATCTATGTGTGCCGAGGAACTGAGAGATTTCAACTGCCCTTGGATTTGCCTGATCGAAACCACAATAGCATTCGTCACACAGTGTGCATTCATCGAAGCACAGGGTCAATTCACGATTTTGGATTTGAAGACTGGTTGGTGCTGAAACGAGCTCAACGTATACGAACTGCTGTTCCCTCCAAGTTGATGATTACCAGTTTTGGCACACTAGTAGAAGAACCCAAGGTCCATGCGGAAGAGGTGGCAAAGCCATCGGCTAGTCTGCCTAGCCCTGTTCCAGAAGCCAGGGGGGTAATCCCCAGGCCAGTTCCCAGGGAAGATGCTGAGGCCAGAGCTTCCAGATTCCAGCCACTTGCTCAATTTGATGGGTGGGCACCTCCACCGGTGTCTATTCAGGGCCCAAAATTTCGTGATTTGGAACCTCAAGAAAGATCAGATTTGAAGAAACTCCACACCAATTTAGGCCACCCTGATCCAAATGTGCTGGCTGAACACCTGAAAGCTCAGAATGCACCACCACATGTGGTAGCAGCCGCTAGGGAATTTGTATGTGACGCCTGTGTTGAATCCGTTGGTCGAAAACACCAACGACCAGCCAAATTACATGAGGCTAAAGACTTCAATGACTTGGTAGGCATGGATGGTTTCTATTGGTCCGGATCCAAAGGTTTTAGAGTTCATGTCTTTCACTGCATTGATGAGGCTTCCTTGTTTCATCTTGGCCGTCGATGTGAAACCCGTAATCCAGACCAAGTCATAGGTACCTGGACAAACTTCTGGACGTCATGGGCTGGAAACCCCAATCAAGTTTACACAGATCCTGCTGGTGAATTTATCTCAAATGAATGGAAGGAATTTTTAAGGAATCATGACATCGAGCCTTTGATATCCACTGAAGCCTGGCAGCGAGGTCGTCTTGAACGACATGGTCAAGTAATTAAGCGCATGCTGTCACGCTGTGATCAGGAACAATCCATTGAGACATTGCAAGATTTTGATCGTGTGCTGATGTCCTGCTTTCAAGCAAAGAACTCACTGACTCGTAATGGAGGATTTTCTCCTGAACAAATAGTACTGGGAAAATCCCAGAAGCTTCCAGCAAGTTTGACATCCGATGACAGTGCAGCTTCCCACTTACATGCCTTGGAGGATGAGCCAGAAAGTGAGTTGTTTCGCAAATCCCTAGAGATCAGGACACATGCCCGCAAAGCTTTTCTTTTGACCGACAACGATCAAGCCATTCGAAGAGCTCTCTTGCGTAGATCATGCCCTATGAGAGGTCCATATAATCCTGGTCAAATGGTTATGTACTGGGTACGTAGGCATCGAACAAGTCGTCAAGAAGCTGGACGATGGCATGGTCCCGCACGGGTAATTCACCAAGAAAGCCCGTCGGCAGTGTGGTTGTCTCATGCCGAAAGGCTGTTCAAATGTGCTCCCGAGAGCATTCGCCCTGCCTCTCTGCGAGAGTGGAACTCAGTTCAGGGTTCAACACAGATCTGGGTTCCGGATTTACCTATGATCGAAGAAAACCAAAGAGCACCAGCCACTCCGGCTGAATCCATGGAGTATGAAGCAAGTCTTGCACCTAGTGAGGGAATTGTCCGAAACCCCCCAAGCCAATTGGCCACTCCACATTCATCTACCCAACCTGAAAGTGAATTGTTTCCCGAACCTCCTCATAACCACCAGCCATCTCAACCAGTAGAAGGTGAAAATCCAAATTCCCCTGAAGCTCTGCATGATGAACCCATTGATCTGGATCCTGAAGAGAGTAATCCACATGCTGCAGCCGCCGATGCCATGCCCATCTTGCATTGCCATGCTGTGTCCGTGGACTCAGAGGAAGACCCTTTGTATGACTGGACAGTTTTGCAAAGTAACCAATCGGAAAACGAGGTGCTAATAGCCGAAGATGGACTTCCCATGTTTAGCACACCTCTTGAATGTGATGAACAACAGTGCTTCTCTTTGTCTATTGATCTGACAGAATCCGATGTTGCTAAGTGGTCCACCGCTGAGAAACCCGAAGAAATGGCATGGGTAGCTAGTGTTGGAAAACGAGCCAAAGCAGAGGTTTGCGTAAGAAATTTGACTCTTGATGAAAAGATTCAATTTGAGAAAGCCAAAGATGCCGAATTGAACTGTTGGATTCAGACAAATGCACTGAAACCAATCCTGAGGCGTCATCTCAATCCCGAACAAATTTTGAAAAGCCGTTGGATTCTTACATGGAAGAGTATTAATGAAGAAGACAGTCAAAAGACTCAACGTAAGGCTAAAGCTCGTTTAGTCGTCCTCGGCTTTCAAGATCCAAAACTCTGTGAGGTAGCTCGTGACTCACCGACTTTAACCCGAGAAGGAAGACACACAGTCCTCCAAACCATCGCCAGTCGAGGCTGGGAATTGTCATCATTTGACATCAAGACAGCCTTCCTGCGAGGTCAATCTGCCCAAGATAATCCTCTTGCGATGGAACCACCAGTTGAACTCCGAAAGAAGTTGAACTTATCATCCGATCAGGTGTGCTCTCTGGTTGGAAATGCCTATGGTCGAGTTGATGCCCCTCTTTTGTTTTACAAAGAGTTTTCGAAACAGCTTCAGAAGCTACAGTTCAAACGTCATCCACTGGAACCATGTATCTTTATTCTTGAAACGGTCAAGGATGAATCCAGAACTTTACATGGTGTTATTGGGACTCACGTCGATGATGGCATATGTGGGGGAGACGAGTTTTTCCATCAACAACTGGAAGCTTTGAAGAAGGCACTACCTTTTGGAACCTTCAAACAGCGGAAATTTGTTTTTACAGGTATTTTGCTTGATCAACTTCCAGATGGTAGTATCATGGCCTCACAAGAAGAATATGTCCGAGGAATCCCAGCCATTGATGTGGGCCGTCAACGCCGTCAAGTGCCTGAATCCCCAGTGACCGAAAGTGAACTCAGTAAACTGCGTGGTTTAATCGGAAGCTTACAGTATGCAGTGTCTCACACAAGACCAGACATGGCTGCCAAATTAGGAGAAGTGCAAGTTCAGGTTGCTAAAGCCACGGTTCAAACCTTGTTACTTGCCAATCGTGTCCTTCGAGAAGCTCAAGAACATAGCCATGTAAAACTGTGTTTCCGAAATATTCCAGTGAATCAAGTGACCCATGTTAGTTTTGGTGATGCTTCATTTGCAAGTTCAAAGCAGTTAGCCTCATTTCAGGGAACACTCATTTGTGCAACCAACCTTGAGTTAGCGAAGAACCAAAAAGCACCACTAAGTCCTTTAACCTGGGTTTCCAAAAAGATTGCACGAGTGGTGAGATCAACTTTGTCGGCAGAAGCTTTTTCCATGTCCAACTCTGTGGATCGCCTTGGATGGATGAGATTGCTTTGGGGAACCATTAACATTGCCAATTTTGCCTGGAGAGAACCAAAACAAGGATTTCAACAACTTCCGATGGCCACCATTGTCACAGACTGCAAAAGCCTTTATGATTTGGTGAGCCGAACAGCAATTCCTTCATGCGAAGAGTTCAGAACAACATTAGAAGTTTTGCTTATTCGAGAAAGAAGTTTAGAACACAGCCAATTTAGATGGATCCCAACATCACTGCAAGTTGCCGATGCACTGACGAAACCAATGGATCCCATCCTGTTGCGACAAGTGCTGGCCTCTGGATGTTTCCAGCTTCATGACGAGGATGATTCTCTGGAAAGAAACGCTCACAGAAAGCAAGCTGTTCGCTGGCTTAAGGAACAAGACAATGCACTCAAACCTGTGTCTCATCAAAAGAGTTAAGAGGAATGTGATTTGTCCACTTACAGCTGAGCTTGATGTGACACCTATTTGCCAGGGATGTTACTCATGTTTTCATGTTCCGTTGGCATCCGCGTCCCAAGTGCCAGCGGAGGGTAGCGGAAGTGGTAGGCAACGGGGTTGTCTAACTGGCGCCATAGCGAGCCGTGTTGCAGGGAAAACACTGGGAGCTGCGGGATTGGAGTGTTTTGGACAGGGTTCCACTTTACAACAACTTTGGTTCATCCTTTTGATCATTTGGTGTTGGGAACACCTTATCTGCAATTCAGGGAAATTGCCGCTGCCAGTGTTGAAAGGAGCTCCAGGCTCTTTCACAATGTATATGTATATGTATATATATATATATTGGGGATCATCATAATTCTTTCTGGGATTCCCCATTCGCCAATCAGCAAATGGCCGGATTCTTAGACATGCCATAAAAAGTCGCCATGCGCGAGGCGTGGTGCCAGTTGTTGGCTACTCAGCGGCGCTGATGCCGAGAATCCCTGCATTTGGTTTCGCACCATGGAGAAATGGGGGATCCGGAAGTCTTACTGGGAGGCCAGTCAGCCAGTCCTTTCTTGGTTCCGTCTTGGAAATGTCATCTTGGTCCGCTTAGGAGTAACACTTCTGCCAATGAAGAGCAATGTGATGGTTCATACTCCTTCGGAATCTAGAGACGGTTCTTGCCAGAATCCGCTAAAAAGAATTGTTCTTATGACTGTCAGTTTTTTTTCTCGATTGCCAGCTGCATTTGCGGAACATCTTCCAGTTCACGAAGGCAATTGCATTGGATCTGAGGAAAGTCAACAGATGCAAGCTTCGAGAACTTTGAGGACTGACATTGCCCTGACGATAACGGTTTGCTATGTACGATTTGGTGGACAATGATCATACTTCTGAAATAGTAACAATATTCAGCAGCTGACACTGAGCCTGAGTGGTAAGCGGTGAGTGTTTCCTGCCATGTGATCATTATTATCAGTGGTACAGCAAGTGGTAAAGTAAGTGGTGCACTAAGTTTTTTTCACCATATTATCAATATCATCCAGAACATATTATCAATATTTATCAATATAATCCAATAAGGATCAATAAGCTAAGTATCAATATGGAGGTTTCCTAAAATGGGGGTACCTTCAAGTCATCCATTCTCCTAGGATTTTCCATTTTCAATAAACCATCCAGCTATTAGCCCGGGCCCCATAGGAAACCTCCATATGATCAGCCACTCCGCTCAGGAGAACTTGTCGCACTTGCAACTCGAAAACTCGATGGAGACTTGGACACTACAGGAGGGTTCTTTTCTGGGTTCCCCCCCAAAATATGGTAACAAGAAACACGGGTTATCCGATAACCCCACCGAGTAAGCCATAAATGGATGGTTTTTAACCACGAATGGTAGGTTTATGGGGTTGAATCTCGCATTACCCTGAGAAAGGCTTTCTTTCTCTAATTTGGACCCGATACACAGTCTACCCACATTCTGCCCCTTTGGTTTCCAAAGTGACCAAGTGATTTGGAAGGTCTATCAGTCTATCAGCTCAATTTCTCATCTCAAATGTCAGGTCGACATTGCAAGCCAAATCTTGAAACTCCGGGAGTTTACAGCTCGCCTACGCGGTCGCTGCAATCGAAGTGCCCGGTCTGTAAACAGGGCGTGTAGAGGTTCTGATGTGCTGAAGTCCTCGAAATGAACAATAGAACAATAACAACATCAGTTGGGCCTGTCCAAAAATAGCAGATACCATGGGACACCGCAATTGATTCCGATTGATGATAATTTGTGGCCATATGAATGAGGAAATGGTGATGCCCCGGACAGTTTCCTGGAGGCCTTTGACGAAGCGACATGGTGGCATTCGAGTTGTGTCCTAGACAAGTTGTTTTCGAACTGGCCTTTGACCTGGCCTAAGTATGTTTGTGGGGTATGGTATGAAGCTATGTGTTTACTATTACGTATGGAAAAAAAAAAATATATATGGTCTAATCTAGTATGGAGATATTTGTTTCAGATGGGTTGCAATCCAACGAAGAACTGGGGGGGCCTCTCAACAGTCTCAAGCTACGTATTGCAAGTTGCCAAACCTGATGGAACGTCCTTGCCGAACATCGTCGAGAAGCTCACTTTAGTTGGACACTCTTTGTCGATTGAACAGAATACGATTTTCTTGTGCCACTTTCAGATTTCCCTGAGGTTTTCAGTGGCTACTGCAAGCTGAATGAAGAGGTGATCGATTTGATTGGCTCGCTGCTAGCTGGTTTCAGAGGCGCCCTGGCACCGAGGGCCTTTAAGATCCTTTAAGCCATCCTTGGTGACCTGGTGAGGCGACAATCTCGATGTTACGACCCCGGAGATCAAAATCAGGCGCGCTGATATTGAATTTATTGGTGCAGGTAAAAACTTGTGTGGGACTTTCACTTGGAATCATTCTACTCAGCACCTACCAGCCCTCTTGGGCTGTAAATCATTTGTTTTCCATGTTTCAACTATAGAAAGAGCGAAGTTATTGGCACAAACCTGGCAGGATGTTGTTGCATATCGCAGAACAGCTCGGCCGTGAGCGCGGCTTTATGTCCTTCCACATAGGTGCAGTCGTCTCAGCCGTCGCGGCGTGTCGTCCCGTGGGTGTCGGCCCAAACTCGGAGCAGGCCGTCCAGAGCTGATCCGTTCGGTGAACGCGCAGCTGCGCTTTGCCAAGATCCAGGGATGCAGGTGGGGCGCAGGAGATTTCTCATCTCGAAACAGTTAGGTCCTTAGGTGTCAACCGTGGCTGGGAATCCCCCAACTAAATGGAGGTTTATAGTGACTATAGCTGCGAAATTCATGAAACTGTAGTGACTATAGCTGCGGGATTTTTCATGATTTTTCAGCCATGGAGCTAATGTTGCAGTCCCACAGTGTCATCGGGGAAATCCTCCACTACGTCCACTAGGCAGTTTGGAAATGAGCATTTTGATCTCTGCTCATGCGTCTCTGGTGGCAGGCAATATTTGGTAGGCAGCTCATCCCCATACCTTCAGTCTGCGTCTCAGATCGATTTTTTTTTGGCCTGATCCAACTAAAAGAAAAAAGTGAGCCGGTTGTGATATACAGACATGATGCGGAACATGGGATTTAGCATGGTTTATCATTTTCATTTATTTACAATCTTTTTTGCATTCCTTCTGAAAGACGCACTAAGAGGCAAAAGCAAAAACTGGAATTTGCCAGAAAGCGTAACTTGATGCTTCCTTTCAGAGCTCATTCTTGCAAGGGCTCTCAATCGCAGTAGATAGAGCGTCTGTTAGCACCTTTAGCCACATCAGGCAGCTAGTAGGTATTGATGTTCAATTTGACCTGGATAGAAAGGATGGTCAAAAAGAATTCAACGGCCCGAGAACAGCTGCTTATTTCCTGTCACTTCAGCATTTGAAAGTGGCAGTGCTTGTCACTTTGCTGAACGTTCGTGTCCAGGTGCGAAGTGGTTTCCACAGCAAATGGACTTTTGCCTAGCTTGAGGACCGATGTCTTTTTTTTGATTTCTTAACTTTTGCAAGACTGTTTTCAGAGAAATTCGTGCATTTTCAGCCCGGGTTCAGCCTGGATTCTTGGGTGTTGAGATGGTCGTCATTATCCATCCCGAAAATGAGACTCCTAATTCATGATTCGGCTAGTCTTGGATGGGTGACTCAACCATGAACCATGCTAAGTTCGTTTGGGTTTACAACTGTTTTTAAAATGGGTTCACAAAGCAACTTCGGGGTTTCATCTCGTGAAGATGCGGAGGCTGGCAGATGAAGCAATACTGAGTACCTCTGAGATCCAAGCACTTGAACGGGCTGAGCATCTTGGTTGAAAAGATCACCAGATTTCTGGCAATTTCGTTGACCTTGTGAGTTGGGGAAGACTGTGGGATTCACCCAATACACCATTCCAGCCAACCATTTGGGGATCATTTGCAGCGTCCCATTTCTAGGGGTATTCTCAGGGTCCAACTGCTGGTTGGATGGCCAACCTGTGCAGCCATAAGTTGGAAATGCACCGGTTCTACCGACCTCACAGAAATCCGAATTTGTATCCACTTCTACACTAGCTCTCCATCGACAAACTACAGGTTTCATCAGTTTTGAAGGATCCTGAAACTTGATTGATGACCCTTTTTCCGAATTAAAATGAACATTTGGGGGGCAAGGGTCCTGTCTTGGTCAGTAACGGACAGAGATAGGGTCCACAAACCAAGTGAAAAGATGTGAAAAGGCCATTTGGGGGGTACACACCATTTTCAGACAAAGCCTTGGCAGATGTTTATTCCAACCATGCCCTGAATTCTCTGAGGGATTCCGTGATGCAGGGCCAGAAGGACACCGCAGAGTGGTATCTTGGAAGGATAAAGTCAGTGTCAGGGAGTCATGGGGATACCCCCCAAATCCTCCTGGTGACCATTACCGTACATGACGATTGGTAAAAAGGTTAACTCATGGTAGCCACTGGGGATCCCCCATGACAGGTTAGAACTCCCCATGGTAACCCACCTGCATAGCTTCACGAAAAGCATCGACTGAGCTTGCTGACAGGTTCGCCTTTTTAACTGGGATGATCGACAAAGTGCCCTGTGGCGCTGCGAACATGAGCTGATCATGGCATGAAGTCGGAGAAGCCATGTGAGAAAGCAACAAAAAAGGGGTCATTTTACATCACCATTGTGGGGGTGGTTTACTATCGGGGCCTCATTACATCACATTGTGACATGCACACTTATTTATCATCATTTATCTAGACATATCTAGACTCAATGAATCTCAATGAGATAACTAACACATGCTGATTTGAGCTCGACTGGAGAGGATGAGCATCACCAAGTAGCAAGCGGGTGCGGATGGTGCGGAGTTTGCAAAAGAGACTTTCAGGTACACCAGCATGTGAGCATGACGGTGGTGCTTTTCATCCAAGATTTGAGCACAACGCAATCGTGGCAGGAGCCAACTCGGACTGAAGTGACACAGAAGTGACACAGATGGAGGTTGTACTTCACAGTCTCAGCCACTTTAATCATCTTTAATTTAATCAACTTCCATATCCTGCAGGAGAACCACCAAAGTCCATCAATATCTTCCGCTCCTTCTGAATGTGGCCTACAATCAACGCCCAGTGTTTTGGGCTCCATGCGCGGCTCCTTGGCTGCAGCTGCGGGTAGTGCAGGTAGTGCAGCTTGCTGCAGCTGCTGTGCCAGGAAGCCCTGGCAACTTGGGTGCGGGTCGAATTGCCAGTTTGGAGCCTTGGCAGATCCGGGCGGAAAGGATGCGATAGGTTTTGGGTTTTGGCGGATGGGGTTTTGGCAGATGGGCAGATTCATCATTTTGTGGAATGGTCAGTGGTACAACCAAGATGATACATCTGGGGTGGTGAGCCCCCATTTTATGGCTCCTCTGAAGGGTGAAGAAATTCATAAACCAGGGAGTTTTGAGGTTGAGGAGAAATGACATGCATGTCATGCCATCCAAGGATGCCGACCGGCCAGCAATGTCTGTAAGCCAAGTCCCGACCTTGGCAACAGTTGGTTGATGCTGTTGTCTTGTCCAGGCTTTGGGTGAGAAGATAAGATAGTGCAAAGGCTTCCTTTTATTGGCATTCAGTGAGTAGGATACAGTGGACATAGCTGAGATCATCCTCTGTCAACCTCGCTGCAGCGAAGCTGAGGCCAAACGAACAATGTCCCCGCTACTTGGCTTTGAAGAATTCAACCTGAGCTATGTCACTGATACCAAGCTGCTAAGCTTCCCTGACATTGCCGACATGTCAGGACGGAGAAGTACGCAGCCCTGCTGCAGGCAGCCGCGATCTTGCGCCGGGAGGAGGACGGAACAGTTGAGCAGCTGCGTGAAAAAGCCTTGTTGGTTGATTCCTGTAACCGTTACTGTAACCACTAGTTTTTCCTGTGGGTTTCATGATGTTTTTGGCATTTTTAAGAATCAGAAATATGGGGATATGACTCATGACTGAGAAATGATTAGTTCGGAGATTATACTATCCTTTATAATTGTAGAGCTTCGCACACCGGCGATGCCATAAGAGTTATGGTTATGTATAGTAGTGTGAGCGTTGGTGTTGTTCATGTGCTCTGCGCGTGCGCGCGGTGCAGAGCACAGTGTGATGTTCTTTTCATACCACAGTTTGTAACCATCTTACCACACATCGTTTTGTTTCATCTATGTGCTTGTTCTTCTTCTTGTTGTTGTTGTTGTTGCTGCAATGCAGCGCAGCTCATTTTCGACTTTTTGTGGACCCCTAAAAATCGTCAAATAGGTGGTGCTTTCGCTTATTTTTGAAACCCTCGGAGCAACAACGGTGTTTACAGTGTGTTTTTGTGGTTTATATATGCGAAAAGGACAAAAACACTGTATTTTAGATTATTTTACGATGTTTTTGCTTCCCGAGCGCAAAAAAAATCGTCAAACAATGGCACAAAATTTGTCTAAAATCAATTTCCAAAAGCATCGTGTAATTTTAGCATCTTTTTTCCCGCCCCTGGACCCCCAAAAACGTGAAAACAAAACAGCGTGAAAGATTTTGGGGGTCGGCAGCAGGAGCGCGCCCCCGGGTAGCTAAAGCTAGCTGTAGGCTACACACATGGCGCGCGCACACACTTGCTCGGAACAATCTTTGCGAATTCTGATGTGGAAAAGCACTCCAGTTACACCTGACAGGAATGGGTCAGTGAAAAGGTCCGAGAAAATTCGAAAAGTTACTGTACCATCGCCAAAGCCATTGCTAGATGCAATACATTGGAAGCTGATGCAGATTGCGACAACAGTGCAGTAAAAAAGAAAAACCCAAAAACCCTCAAAACAGGAAATGATCGACATGCCGGTTCTGGGCTTAGCCGGTTGCCATTGACGAGAACTTGGAATTGGAAAATTGCAGGTACGTGGAGTTGACCAGACTCCATATCCTGGTCAACAGCATGGAGCTTCGTTGGCGACAGCCATGCAGCGACCCTGTCGCCCCCTGCTTTCAATGTTGAAAGGAAACGGACATGTAAGTTACAAAAACAGCAGTGAAAGACCTAACAAAAATCATCTGTCAAAGGAAATCATGAAATCGACATCATCAGGTAGAATATTTACATCTATTCAGATGTTTCACACACACACACCCCACTGCCGCGGGGCTTTTTCGGAAGATGCAGCATGTAAGTTGAATGCACGCTCTGATATGGTCAACTGGGTTCGGATCATTCGATCAAAATGCCAGAGACAAAGAATTGAATTGAGTTGAACAGGAGTTTTATGTTATGAAAAGCCACCGCACTCACGGGATCTCACGATCGAGCTCGTCCGAAATGTCCGAGAGGTCTCCAAACTCATCAGGTTGGGCGCGTCGAGCCAAAATATTGGTGGTGATGGAAAGATGGCTTCCAAGATGTGCAAGCTCCGCCGCTGTGAACTATTTTAAATTGCTCTCCGACGGGTTCTCTGGTGGAATCTGGAGCTTCTGGAGGATCGGGGCATTGAACTCAGGGTCCTGCATCATTGCGTCATACAGGATGTGAGCTAGCTGGCGGATTTGATGAGGAACAGAACGTATGGGTTCTCCCGGCCTTGGGCGCAGTGGAACGAAAAGTGGTTTCAAGACGATGGACTCCTTCAACGGCCTTGGCCCAGTGGAACAAACAGATAGATTCCTTGGGCCCGACCCGGCCTTGGCCCCAGAAACGGTGTCAAGCCCCGTAACAGATAGACTCTTAGCGGGGGCCCAGTGGAACGAAAAGTGTGGCTTTGCGCTTGCGCCAGACCCGCAAAGCTGAGGCCCTGCTTGTTGCCTTGCAGCTGATGGAATCGAAAACAGGCTAGCTCTGTTGCACACCTGCGGTGAGCCCAGGCGCCTCCCCGCCTAGGCCAAGGCTAGGCAGGGGTCGGCGGATTAATTGGAGATTACCCACGGATTCGGAATCCCTATTTGCGCAATTTCGATTCCGCACTCTTCACCAGCACCACCACCACCATCATCCACCATCATCACCATCATCACCATCATCATCATCATCGTCATCGTCATCATCATCATCATCATCACCATCATCACCATCATCATCATCACCATCATCATCATGATCATGATCATGATCATCATCATCATCATCAAAATCATCATCATCATCAACATCATCATCATCATCATCATCTTTACCATCATCATCATCATCACCACCACCATTATCATCATCATCGTCACCACCAACATCATCACCATCATCATCATTATCATCACCAAGACCTTCTTTGTCATCAGCATCGCCGTCATCATCATCATCATGATCATCTTCATAGGCCATCATCAACAAATTCAAAGCCATCATCACCGTCATCATCACCATCATCATCATAGCCATCATCATCATCATCACCATCACCACTATCATGGTCATGATCATAGTCATGATCATAGTCATCATCATCATCATCGTCACCACCATCACCGTCAACATCACTATTATGATCATGATTTCTGTCATCAGTATCATCATCACCGCCATCTGAGTCAATATCATCATCATCATCATCACCATCATCATCATAATCCTCATAATCATCATCGGCATCGTCATTACCACAGCCATCATCAGCACCATATCATTATTGCCATCAATTTCGTTATCATGGTGATCATCATCATTACCACCATCGTCATCAGCAGCGTCAACATCACCGTCATTACCACCAGCACTATCACCATAACCATCACCATCTTCTTCATCATCAAAATAACAATCTCCCATCATCCTTCATCCATCATCACATGTGTTGCCGCATCTGGTCTGATTTGCCAAGGAGTATATTCCAGGTCTTCCTGACCTTGCATCCACTAGCTTGGGTGGCTTTGCCAGTGTGGAGAGTAATGGACGCACCATGAGCACCATGAGCAACATGAGCGGTTTGGGTCCATCGTCCTTGCTGCTGCAGAAGGTCCGCTTGTCATTGGTGTCATAATTTTCCCATTGACTTGACGTGTGACGTGGGGTGAGTTTGCAAATGTCAGACACACCCAAGCCGAAATACATACAATTACATTCAGTACGACAGATAGATAGATAGATAAATAGATAGATAGATAGATAGATAGATAGAGTATATGTATCATGTCTCAGCCAAATCTCCATGATTTCCTGTTGCTGTATGAAAAGGTTGGATTTTACACTTCTGCTATTCTTGTTGGTGTCTATGCTTCTCTATTGGATGTCGGAGTCGCAGGAGCAGACCCCGGTGAAAGTGATGCCGCTGAGTACGCCTGAAGCAACACCGATTCATCCTGGCATTTGGAGTCAGAGCCGTCAAGGTGAACATGTGCAGCGCAGCATGCACAAATGGGAGCTAGACCTGATTCAGGAAATCACCCTTCATAACCTGGCAGAATTATAATGAAGCCACTAGAGATGAAGGATTGGGGGAATCAGCCGCAAATCTACTTACTTCAGCTTGGAAAAATCATAATATAGCAGCGTGAATGGGTTCAAACCTACAGCAATGGGGATTGATGGAGTTTGATGCGATGGATATAAATAAAAATAAGTAAGTATATATATATAGATATGTATTTACAACTGGATACCAAAAGATTTGGGTTTGTCCAGAAACTATTTTTTCCCAAAGATATGGTCGCATTTTCAATGGGAGGGAACATGAGGTTTTCAGGCATTTTTCATTGGGTGTCCTTTTTTCAGACAGATCCTGATCCGCTTGATCCTGTCTGAAGGTCTAATTCAGAGTCAACATCACCCGCTTTCACTGCAGGCGGAGTACCAGGTGGCTATCCCATCTCGCCGCCGAACATGGCCTTTTTCCCTGCGCCCCAAATGTCTCAGATGTCTCAGTGCCCGCAGGCCATGAAGGACGTCGAGTGGCGTTGAACAGTAGCAAGTTCGAAATTAGATCAATTTCAAACCCTTTCAGCTTGGCTTCCTTGAATATGCCATGTACATTCCCAACAGCAGGGACTGTCGGGTTTTAATCCCTAGATCTGGGAGTGCGTCGTTTCTCGGCCGATCTCAGAAACCAGACAGAACCGGAATTTGACAATAATCTAAAATCATCATCTTCATCATTCACACTAATCATAACCCCACACACACAAACACACAAACACACACACACAGATATATATATTATACATACATATGTGTGTGTGTATATATATATATATATTCTGAACCCTTTGAATTTCAAGCAGCCAGGTGGACTTCATGGTCCCCCCGCAGGGGCCCTCGGTGCCTCCAGTGCCGGGGCCGGTGCCTGGTGTGCCTGGTGTGCCTGGTGTGCCTGGTGTGCCTGGTGTGCCTGGTGTGCCTGGTGTGCCTGGTGTGCCTGGTGTGCCTGCGTTTCCTCAAGCATCGACCATGCCGGCACAAACGCAACCCAGGACGCAACGAGACAGCTGAGAGGGACATGATCATGATCATGATGATGATGATGATGAAGAAGAAGATGATGGTGATGTTGTTGTTGTTGTTGTTGTTGTTGTTGCTGTTGTTGCTGTTGTTGTTGTTGTTGTTGTTGTTGTTGTTGTTGATGAGGATGATGATGGCCACGATGATGATGATGATGATGAAATTGATGGTGATGATGATGATGATGATGATGACGGTCATGACGGTGATGGCGGTGATGGTGATGATGATGGTGGTGATGATGATGACGGTGGTGGTAATCATGAAAGTGATGCGTGTAATGATGATCGTCATAATGATCATGACGATGGTGAGAATGGTGATGAGGATCATGATTGTGATGATGATGATGATGGTGATGATGGTGAAGACAAAAGTGACAATGTTAAATTTCAGAGTGATAATGATGAGAATGTTGATAATGATAGCGATGGTAGTGATTAGGTTGAAGATGATATGGATGATAGTGATCCTGATGGTGATGAAGCTGATGGTGATGATGGTCAGAATGGTGGTAACGATGGTGCTGACGCTGAAAGTAATGATGATGATGGTGAAGATGATGAATGAAAATAAGATTGACGGTGGTGAAGTTGATAGTGATGGTGGTCAAGATGAAGGTGACGATGGTGACGATGGTGATGATGATGGTGGTGGTGATGATGATGATGATGTTGACGATGGTGATGATGATGGCGAGAATGAGGATGAGGATGGTGATGAAGGTGATGATGGTGAGGAGCATGGTCAGGATTATAGTGATGATGGTGAAGGTGATCGTGATGGTGATGTTGATGATGATGATGGTGAAGCTGGAAGGCGATAGTGATGATGGTGTAAATGATGATGAAAGTTAAAATGATAATGATGATAGGGATGATGGTGAAGATGACTGTGATGGTGGTGAAGATGAAAGTGGTGAAGGTGACGACAACGACGATGATGATGATGTTGAAGGTGATAGTGATGAAGGCAAAGGTAATAATGATGATCGTGATGACAACGGTGGTGATGATAGTCCGATGATAAAGGTGAAGATGATAGTGATGATGGTGTTGATGAAGACGATGATGGTGGTGATCATGATGGTGATGATGAAGATGATGCTGATGAGGGTGATGATGCTGCTCATGATGATATTGCTGTTGATGTGGCTGCTGCTGGTGATGGTGATTATGATGATGCTGATGCTCTGCTGCTGATGATGAAGGCGATGATAATGGTGAAGATGATGCTGCTGATGATGATGATGATGATTCTGCTGATGATGGTGCTGATGCTGCTGCTGAGGTGATGGCAATGCTGGTGGCAGTGATGATGATGATGATGATGATGATGCCGACGCTGATGACGAGCATGCTGCTGCTGGTGATGATGCTGCTGATGAAGGTCGCTGGTGCTGCTTATGATAACGATGTTGCTGCTGATTGTGGTGATCATGATGCTGCTGATGATGGTGACGATGATGGTGATGATGATGGTGATGCTGCTGCTGCTGATGATGATGATGCTCATGATGTTGCTGCTGTTGATGGTGATGCAGCTCATGATGATGTTGTTGCTGCTGCTGATGATGATGATGATGGTGATGATGATGATGATGGTGATGCAATGAATGTGTTTCTGATGAGGTTGATGAAGCAGGAGATGATGATGATGATGATGGTGATGATGATAAACATGGTGATGTTGATGGGTAATTTCGATGATATTGGTCATGATGGTGATGATGATTATGGTGATGTTGGTGCTGATGACGGCCATGATGATG